AAGTCTCACCTCTGATTTCTGGGATTTGTACGGGCATTTTGCAATAACCTGATTTGCCTGAATTTCGTGACACAGCTCCTTTAACATTACATCACAAATCCCTGATTATCCAGAAAGATTATTAATCTGTGGTATACTCCCGGGGGTATACCTGGTAACTTGGAGACGCAGCTGCTAATACAGCTGTAAAAGAAACCTAAGTTGAGGGTCGACCATTTGACTTTTGAGGTGTTTTTTTTCCTTCTTTCTAGCAATCGGCTGGAGCTATCTCCTTGATCTTTCACAAACGTTTTTAAATAGATTGAAACTACGATGAGGTGAAATTGCATGTCAAAAGCGCTTCCCTTTCTACAGATAACCGCCGAACACCAAGATTGTCCATTTTTACCGTATTTCTAACCACAAAAACTTTATCCCAAAATATCTCGATAATGTTCTTACAGATTTCGCTTAAACTTCACGAACATCGAGGCTGCTATTGGAGGAAAAAGCTCTCGTAAATGATTTTCGCAGAACAGTTCCCAGTGGCGAGATATACTGCTGCAAGTAAAATAGGTAATAGCGTCATTTCGTTGCTATGACAACTCCGATGCCGTTGCAACCCTGATCATACCAAATTTTCATCTTTATCTAATACAACTGTGGTGTCAATTTTTTCAAAACTTTGTTTATGGCGACGTAGTTTATGCTCAAACTTGGGAGGTATTGGCCCTGAAAAACTGTATCGAGCCACCATAAATCAAACAGCCAACGAGCGAGGACACCAGTTTTCCTGGTTTACTTTTTACAAAAAGCGAAGGCAAACAACCAGTCTGTTACCTTAAGCCACCAACTTTTATAATAATGCCTACACTGAGAATTCCTTGAACAGCGATGCGATATTTTTCGTCTAATACTTCACAGTTGGCGATTGAGGTTTCTTTCGCAGTGAGCCTCCGCTTGCGTACCCCGTTCAGAGAAGCCATTCCCGGCTAAACTTTCAAATGAACCAGTTTTAAGATGGACAGTATTTTGATTTGCACTCGTTTGTTGGTAAATCAAAAGGCACCTTGTTGGCGTTCAATAACTTGCAGAGGGATTCAACTCCCGCGATACACTCACATTAGTTCCGTAAATAAAGCAAATCCAGAGAATATATGAACAACCATATGAATTTTCTGAATTTCCAAGGCACATATTAAGGCCTATTTTCCTACCATAAGACCATAAAACAATAAAAAAGACAGCAAAACCAATCCTTCTCTCCGCCGACGACGGATCATTCACGAAAACAAACACGCGAGGAATAAGCGCTTTCAACTTTCGGCGTTTCCGACAGCCAGTCAGATCTTGTGGCATTGTTCTAACAGCCAATCAGCGTTACGGCCAAAATCTGGCCGTAACGACCACAAACGTGAGAGAGTTTTATCACGCCCAATTTTAGCGCTGGCCATTGGAGAGAATGTATGAGAACCGCTAAAATTGGGCCTGATCTCAGGTTATGTAAAGAGAAACACAACAGTGAAATGCAGAAATTTGAAATGAATGTTACCGATTCTTACTCCAACGACGCCATGTTGAGGCAGATATCGCAGGGTGTTCGGATAGATCAAGTACCCGAAGGCTTGTTGATGAACTCGAAGAACGAATGGAATTATTTCCGCGTTCCATGCGCGGTAGTCGCACGTGACCAAGTGAAATAAAACACACCATGTTGGCTTACATGACACTGGCGGACACGCGGCCTTTTTTAGTGCATCTTACATGAAGATTTTATTGACTGATGAGGCTCAAAAAGTGAAATATATTTCGAGGATTTTAAAACTTCATTTTTATTTTTACATTTTACATTTCTTGAAAAACGTGCGTCGAATGTGGTCAAGACGAGACGTCTTGTTCTGCAAGTAGTTCAAGTAATTCTGACTTATCAGCTATTATCATTTTCTGTATAGCCTTGATTATAATTATTTTTAATTTTGTTAGAAACTACAACTGTCAACCCAAGATATGAAGTTGTTACTGAAAAGCAGGTTGCTGATATCAGTGATGAGGTAGGGACTTGCTGGCGTCAGCTGGGACCCAGGCTTAAGATTGCAGAATCAAAGATTCACAATATTAATGAGGAGAACAGTGGTAACTGGCACAAAGCACATGCTCTGTTGATCATGTGGAAACAGACGGAGGGGAAGAATGCTACAGTCGGCCATCTGGCAGATGTTTTGGAGAAGATAGGACGAAGAAGCATTGCTGAAAAACTGCTTGGTGAGTACTGATGGATTCCAATAAGTTTCAATGCTGTAAGGATGTGATGAGCAATTGATATACCCAGAGCTCAAAAAAATTGAATTCCAGCCTGTCCTTTGGGCAAGCAGCTCTCACATTTCCTTTCCCAGGACCACTTCTGTCCCATCTTAGTTACCGATTTTATTAGAGAATAAATGGGGGCAAGTATGGTTTAAAAGTCTCTTGTTCTGGACTTCCAGACGGAACTGTTTTCAAGCGCTGTACCCCATAAGACAAAACTTGGCCATGGCTGCAATCTCTCCTGTTTCTTTTTTTGTTTCCAGATTTTTTTCCCACCAATGACTTCATGAATTATTTTATCTGACAATAATGTTGACTTTGAAAGACTTGTCCGTGGAATTCGAGCTAATCAGAAATGGAGAAATATTTTGAATGAATAGTAATCCGAGTTATGGGAGCCAATCACAACACACATAAAGTGCTACCCCCTGATTTGGTATTAAGAGCGGCTGTCTGTAAATATCGAGAATGTGCCGTCAAAATGGAAATTTCGAAATTCTTCATATTCAGTAAGGAAAAGCCCTTTGGTGAAACATTTTCGAAAATCACAATCAAACTTTCCAAAGAATTTTCTTTTTCGGGAAAACCGGCAAAAAGTGAAATGCTGCCCCACGCCATATAGTCGCCGGTCAAAAACCTTTGAATTATACCATTTTCAAAGCCCTCGGGAAGAAAGACGGTTCAAGGAAACAACTTCATCTTTAGCAGGTAAGTTAGGCATCCCAGTTACAATACTATTTGGTAAAAATATTGCAAGATAATGAATTTTTTACTCGGTTTAAAAACGCCCGAAGATTCCTATCTTCAGCACTTTAAAAAAACAATGAAATTTTTCAAAACTTTGAAGGAAAAAATCACGGCTTGGTACATGGGATTTTAGAAGAATTATTATACCTCAGAAAAACCCTACTGTTGTAGTACAACATATAAAAATTCCAGCTTGGGCAATTAAAAAGCAACCCGCCGAGAGAGGTAAACGCGCAGTTCATTTTCGATGTTTTTGCATAAAATGTTGAAACCGTCACGTAACCGCGAGTAACACAAACTCCATGAAATTATATTTAATGTGCCCAGATACGCATTTTTTTCATTGAAGATGAATATAATGTAATATAATGTTGTATAATGTAGTATCTAAAGAATATTTAAGTCGTCTATCGTTTTTTTTATTATTATTTGAACGTATGAATGGAATAAGTGCAAACCGACGCGCAGAAGGTCAAGTGCAGTGTCAATTTACCGACATAATTTCATACTGGCTTAACGAAAACAGAATGTTCAAAATACATGTACAGTATCTTAAATCAAGAATCTTCGATAAAGTGCATCTGAAAATTTGTTTCATTCGATAAAAAACCGTTACTGAGGGGCTGGAAGTTGTTAGAGTTAAAATGGGGAAAAACTGCGTTTGGCGAACCAAACAACAAAGGTCAACAAATGATATCGACACCACCCAAGGTACTCCTTTTTTAATATATTTTTTAACAGGGTTTATATTCATTAAAGAGCTTGCATTCATTATAAACTAGTCCAGTTGCTTCAGTGACCCAGGGGGAAGGTCGCCCTTAATGCGCTCTTCCCAACTGGTCGACAAAATGCTTTAAATCTATATTAAAAATTGTTAAATTGACACAAAATGTTCGTACAAAAAGTATTATAGTTAAAACAAACAACTGAAGAGCACTCGCCTTTTCTTAAAATACGCTATTTAACGGGCCAAGAAAGTAGTCAAAGTTTCCTCTTATGAACTCAGAGAAACCATATTTGAGGTACGTCATTACCTGAGTAAAACCTTGCAACTCTTTACAAAGAGTACAGGGTCGGCCTCTGAATAGTTCCTTTCTACTATCTCACCCCCCTCTCACTTGTCGTCTGTCTATTCCCCACCGTAGGACACACGAAAAAGGCCATAATTCCCACCCCGGGACTTTTAACGAGCGCAACTATGCTGTTTCGTTTAATAATTTATGTAGAAAGCATAGAGAACCTGACTTACATTGCATCAACAAAACAACCGGGATACCCACACTTTTAAAAAAACAATAACAACAACCGGCGATATTGTTTCACGCAAAGCTCTGGACTTTTCCAGCAGGCTGCCTCGGGGACGGATGGTAGCAGATAAAAAAGAACAAGGTTTTTAGCCAATAATGTGTGTGTGTGTGTGGGACAATTATTTTGTAGCTAGTACTGCGTAAAGAGCAAAGTATTCAATACGATATCGTCTCATCGAAGGTAAAAAAAAAAGACAATAAGGGGACTGATGCCAGAGGGTACTAACTCGAGGTGTCCGTTAAAGGTATCAAAGTTAGCTGGGTAAATTATCGACCAAAGAAATGGAACTTTTTCGCCTGTAAATCAGCCCGTATTTTAACGTAGATCAAGAACCCACGCTGAAACGAAACATCTGGAACGAGGGTGAAAAAATTCATTGTTACGTTAAAAATAGACAAGGTTTGCACTTAAACAGGTACAGAAGTAACTGTAACAGTGTGAGGTTTTTACTTAAGCGGCAACTCCAAAACTAGTTCGTAAACAAGGGAAGGTGTATCTGTCGTCTAAGCATCAGAGCACAGGCGATTTAGGAGGAATGAGATATCCAAATAGCTTCTAAGTAAGAATTTGCCCCCTGTACGTGCAATTATCCATTTTATAGCGCTTAAAACAGTTTGAATCACCGGGTTAATTTTGGCCAATTTAAGCTCTGTATTGATATAGAGAAGAATCCAGGACCTTCAGTTTATGTAGATGCTACAAAAACAATTAATGCTCCATACTGTCAAGGAAATGTTACAGGATTTGGAGAAAATGGTGGACAACGATGTGTCGCAATTAGTCTGTGCGCTTTAATTTACAGTAAGATAACAAAGATTACTTCAGTTGATGATATGACTCAAATAATTATTGTTGGTATTCAATTATATTCTAGTCTGTCACTGCTTGCAAGACAATCTATGTTAATGCTAACAGAATTGCCAGGAATGGTTACAGTCTTTGAGCAATTTTTCCACCTTGAATACAGTGACAGTTACACTTGTAACATCCATCACTACTGTATATGCCACTCACAGGTTACAGCATTTGAAACACTTGTGGCACTGAACTACAACTCATTCATTTTAACGGTGGCAATTATTGGTGTTAGTATCTACAGCACTGAGGCTGGGGGATATAATGTATTTGGTTCTCATGCTAGAGATATGTATCATAACAGTCATAGTGAAGGGACATGTTTATTGTTGGGAATACCATTCATGCATAAATTAGTACAATATTTTTAGACTCTACATGGGAATGAGGATATATATGAACTGTTCCTGTAAACAGTGCTACCCTATAGCAGTGTACGCAATGTGTTACTCTCTTATTAATCCTTGTGGATACTGGACTTAAGGAACTTTATTTGCCCTTGTTAGTAACCGGAATACACTGTACAAAGTGATGGGTGTGAAAACACATCTGTCAGTATCAGTGGAGCTGAGATAAACCTTACTCTCCGGGCTGTAACCACTTATGTGCTATGTTGAAATTTGGCTCCAAGCATGTCTGCATTGAAGATGTGCATATTTTCAAACGTTGTCGTGAAATGACACTATTTTTGTTGTGGATTGGGACATACTGTATAAGCTGTGTGGTTCAGAAAAAAAGTGGAGTAAAGGATTTGTCTTCTCTGGTAAGATATGATGACAGTTCTTTAGCTGCAATAAGGCATGTTCAAAGTATCATACCCGTAGTACGACTACGCCCAAATATACGCTCACACAGCGTCTTGTTTTTGTTGTAGTGGTACTTGTCAATGTGCAGTTTAGTTTCGCCGTCTTGCCAGCCATTTTTGTTTCGTGCATTTATTAGTTTTTAGTTTTTTCCTCCTCTGTTTTTCTTGGCAACCTTCATTTCGAAACGTCGAGGCAAATTTTCACCATTTATTTTTACCGTCATTTAGCCATTTTTCGATTGCAAATTTTAAGCATTGCTGGGTAATTTCCCCCTTTTTCTTCCCCTTTCCACCCTTTTAGAACTCCCATCAAACGCCCTTTCCTCTCCCATCTCCAAAACCCCTCCCAGTGGCCCCACCCCTTATTCTCCCGAGCTCCCGCCCCCTGTCCACCTCCACTAAATTCTTCGTTCATTTTCGCCCCGCTTGTACCGTAAATCCCTTGTTATCCCGTTCTTGCTTAGAAGTTTTATTTTAAAGTCCTCGTAACGTTCCTTCACGATCGTTAAATATCACTATTAGTAAATGGTCCTTGTCCAGGCAAAAATGCACTTCACCGGAAAATCTTTATCCCGCCTAACCGGTTAGTTATTTCCACCTCTGTTTCAACAAAGATTTGAATCGAGAACAGAGAAAGCCAGTTGTTCCATTGTTAATGATAAGTAACAGAGGCTTGCCTAATTATAACTTGTGGGAAGTTAGGGATTTTGAATGAATCTGGAACCAGTTTCAAATTAATAAACCATGGAGTTTAACTCAATATATTAAAATATTTTACAACAACTGTTGCTAGAGGTACTAAGGTCGATGACTCTGATTTAACTAAACTTATGAAGCGTGGGCTGTGATAAAAGGCTATGAATATACGTGTACAGTTGTCGCGGAAAAAAAAACTTCTGCAAATAAGAGCGGCTGAAAAAATGGAAGAAATTGCTCAGCCTCTGCTCTCCCTCCGCCTCGCCAAATAAAATGCTACTTTCCTAATGAAGTAGCTACAGCCTAAGATCGGTCTATATTTTTTGTATTGATTGCCTTTTTTTTCAATAAGTTAACAATTAACGAAATCAAGAGACATACCTCACAGATGCCAAGATTGTCACGCATTTGACACGGCACCTGATCTTTCAATAAGCTCGTTTGGGAAACTCATATTATTTACCTTTTCAATTCAATGTTTGTCTGAATCTTAGTCCGTTTTCTTTCCAGCAATTTCTATAAGTAAAATACACCCCACGACTCACGAAAAAAATCATGTCAAGTAATTTGAATTTCAAAAATATATATTTTGATACAAGACTCCTTACTTTCCTCTGCATTGTTTATATTTATGGCTGGCAACGGCCGTTTGACCTTTCAGAGCTGGTTCATTGCGATCGCCCACATCTAACTTTCTAACTAGTCAATTCATACCAGAGTAACAAAAGATTCAATCAATCTCTCGATTTTATAAGTAAAAACTATTTTTTGCAGATCACGACGAAAAAATGTGAGTCAAGACAATTTTTTGGAGTTTGTGTTACCCGTGGTTGCGTGACGGTTTTTCAAAAAGTGCATTTTATGCAAAAACATCAAAAATGAACTGCGCGTTTACCTCTCTCGGCGGGTTGCTTTTTAGGGGTGACGAATGGTCTTTGCGAGCATTCGCGAGCATGCCGAGCACTGCGATTTTTTTGCGAGCACGAGCAGAAATAAAAAATTTGCTTTGCGAGCTTGCGAGCAACGCAGAATTTGGGGAGCACGAGCAAGCGAGCACTCGTTTAAATTTTGCGAGCAAATCGAGCAAAGGTAAAATTTTGCGAGCAACCATTCATCACCCCTCTTTTTAATTGCCCAAGCTGGAATTTTTATTTGTTGTACTACAACAGTAGGGCTTTTCTGAGGTATAATAATTCTTCTAAAATTCCATGTACCAAGCCGTGATTTTTTCCTTCAAAGTTTTGCAAAATTTCATTTATTATGAAAGTGCTGAAGATAGGAATCCTCGGGCGTTTTTAAACCGAGTAAAAACTTCATTATCTTGCAATATTTTTACCAAATAGTATTGTAACTCGGATGCCTTACTTACCTGCTAAAGATGAACTTGTTTCCTTGAACCGTCGTTCTTTCCGAGGGCTTTGAAAATGGTATAATTCAAAGGTTTTGACCGGCGACTATATGGCGTGAGGCAGCATTTCACTTTTTGCCGGTTTTCTCGAAAAAGGAAATTCTTTGGAAACTGTGACTGTGATTTTCGAAAAAGTTTCACCAAAGGGTTTTTTGTGACTGAATATGAAGAATTTCGAAATTTCTGTTTGACGGCAAATTCTCGATATTTACAGACAGCCGCTCTTAAGATGAAGATTTGCCTAGTAGAATATTAAAGGATTAAAATTATTAAAAAAAGTGAAGATTTGCATAGTAATTAAATGAATTAAAACTAGTAAAAAAGGTGACCTCGTCGGACATTTTTGTCCTCAGTAAGAGGAATAGATTTGCTTAATTATTTGTAGGCCTAAATTAAGGCAATAATGATTAACGGGTTACTGTGTTTGGGTATGTTTCCTGTGATCCTGTGATGTTTCCTGTGATCATGCTTTTTTTTTCATTTCATGAACGCTTTATGTCTTTAAGAACCCAGAAATACCTCTGAAGTCGGAGCTGGCGACGGCGATTTCTGCGAGCTGAACGATGGTAGCAGCAAGCATGAAATTCATGGGAAAAGGTTACTGATGTTTCAGAAAAGTAACGAAGACATTCATTCTGTAGTTCAGCAATCAACAAAAAAGTAATTGTTCCAAGAGAGAGAGGGTGATTCGACTTCTCAAATCTTTTTTCCATTTCAATGGTTTGTTTTGGATTTCTATCATAGAACTGTTATTTAACAAACAGATTCCAAAATTCAGTGCAAAACAATTTCAAAATAATCGAATATTTGACGTTCGAATCGCTCGAACTTCATCGACAATGTATAATGAGGTGAAGTGGTTGTTCACCATTTACAAAGTTTCCGGAAAATCCGGTTGAAAAGGAAATGGAACACGGAAACGGAATATTTGGCAGTACAATTTTTGCCGGGCGGAATAGAATGCTCCAAATCGAAATTCGTGTTCCATCTTTGATACCAGTTTCGGGCTCCCGCGGCCGTTTTTTTTTTCTGCAATTTGTAAACACGATTCCTGAATAGAATTTACCAGTCCTAATTTTTCTTTCTATTTGCCTAAGCCGTGAACCGACCTGTTTGCTCATGTAAATTGTAACTGGTAAGCTAAAAATACGTAAATCGCAGAACTCCACGTAGCAGGGGCTAACGCCCAGAAAGGAAAAGAAGCCAACAGGGAAAAGAAAATACCTGAAAAAAACGACGCAAAAAAAAACTAAAAGAAACGAGCCACGAAAACGTTTCGTCGGTGTTTAGCTTAGCTGATTGTGCCTTGGATCTAGGTCTAGTTGCAGCGGGCTCTTGGTTTTGAACCATTTAGGCCGGTTTTTGTACATAAGAAGGTGATAAATTGTGTAGTACGTTTAAATCAGTTTGTTATCTATTCCATGCGAAATCCTGTCGTTCATCGGACCGCGGAAAGTAGTTTTTTGCAAACTATTTAAGTTGATATGTAAGCCTTAACCAGGCACTTATTGGTTGCAGTTCACTCAACTTATAAATTCAGTCTAGACTGAAACGACACCGGTTTGAAACTTCACGGAGTCACTCGTTGAAAGCTTCTAGGGACCACTAACTTACTGCCCGGCGTCACATAAAGGCTTTTAATCGGCCTTTGAATGATTTTTTTTTTAATTGATTTCAATTGCCAAGTAGTAGAATGAGTTGATTTTTTTGCTAACCCGGTTTTCAAAAATCCAGTTATATTTATTTTAAGCCTTTCCCGTGGAACTTTCGCCACCAAGCGCCGTTTAAAGCTGATCGGGCTGTATTAAACACCAATTCAAAGATATATAAGTATATACCTGGTTTTTCGAAAAGCGGGCTACCGAAACATGTCAGTCTCTCGCACTGATTGGTAATTTAATACCCCTTCTTACTGAAATAAAATCTCACCTCAAAAAGAAATTCTTGAACACACGAGATTCCATTTGATAGAAACGTCTGTCTTCAGGGTAACAAAAGTGAAGGTTTCCTCATTAATCTGGAAACGAAGGCATTTTGAGGGACAATTTTTAGTGTTAGCGTCACCGATGGCAAAGCCATTTCCCCAATTCACCCCATTTTTCATTGCCATTGGTCCCTACAAATACAATCCAAAACAACATTGTTAAAAAAAACCAGGTCCTGCAACCACCAATTTAACTGCTTGCTGACTTGGATCATTAGAACCAGAGTGTGTCATTGCTTGCATGCGGTGCGGCAAACAGCACAAAAAACTGCATCCCAGTGCGACAACGCATCAAACTTTAAACATCACAACCCCCTGGAATTTAAGCAGGCTACCCCAAATGCATACCAAATGCCCTGTGTCTGTGCAACAGCGTGGCACCCAGCTAGACATAAACCCCGCTCAATTTGAGGGAAACACTGAGGTTTACAAGACAGGGATAAGCACAGTGCAGCACAAAGGATGCTCTTTAGAACGT